GCCAGATGCCACACTGGAGCTGGTGACGGAGCTGGTGCAGGCCCATCCTTGCACGCCACACAAGCCTGTGGCTGTCCCTTTAAGCCTCCCCCACACCCCTCGCCCCTCCTCACACCACACCAGCAGCTCATCCAGGGAGCTAAGTTTAGCTCCCTCCACTTCCAGTCTTGCCTCCAGGGACAGCCTGTGCTAGTGGGGCCCGCAAGGCTCTCTGAAGCCACCAGAGGCTTGCTTCGTAGCACGGAGGGCCTGACCTGGATCAGCGGTGCACTCCCCGGAGGGCGGGGGATCCTGCACACAGAGGTTTTTGGGGAAGGGGGACGGCACCCCTCTGACCGGACTCTTCCTCGCCCCAGCACAGTCTGGCCTCACGGTCGGGACAAGGGTGGCCCGGTCAGTCCCTCACGGTCCGTGACTCATCTGGAGACAGCTTGTTGTTTTGGGCCCAAAACAAGAACCTTTATTTTTTTATTTTTTATTTTTTTAATTTTTAAAAATTTTTTTTTTCAACGTTTTATTTATTTTTGGGACAGAGAGAGACAGAGCATGAACGGGGGAGGGGCAGAGAGAGAGGGAGACACAGAATCGGAAACAGGCTCCAGGCTCTGAGCCATCAGCCCAGAGCCCGACGCGGGGCTCGAACTCCTGGACTGCGAGATCGTGACCTGGCTGAAGTCGGACGCTTAACCGACTGCGCCACCCAGGCGCCCCCAAAACAAGAACCTTTAAACGGAGCCATGACACGACACGCACCTCACCGATCGGCTCCCTCTGCCACCTCGACCTCAGGTCGGGGTCCTTCGGAGAAAGCCTGTGTGCACCTGAGCTGACGGGACGTCCCCTCCATTCGGGACCAGAACCTGACCCGGAGCTGTCTCCAGGCCGGGTCAGACGCACACAGAGCAGGCCCTCAAACGGGACCTATGGTCTCCCTGAAGCCAGGCCTCTGGCCACACACGGTCCTAAGGACGGCGGACAGAATCTGGGACAGGATCTGAGGGACTACAGGGGGAAAACGCAGTCAACGCTTGTCAGCCGGCGTGACCCAGGCCGCGTGGCAGGAGCTCCCCTGCAGCCACTGGAGCGGCCCGCATCCTCTTCCGGAACCAGTACCAGCTAACCCAGGTGATCTCTACGGACAGAGACAACACCCGCTCCACAGCGGACTTGCTTCCAAACCAGCCTCTCACCCCGACACTCAGTGTATCTTCACTTGATTTGCAATTTGGCAACTAGTGATTGTCTTGTCATGTATGTGTGTGCACACACACACACACACTTGAATGTGATAAAAAAACAAACAAAAAACCGATCTCAGGAACAGGTGCCAGCACGGGCTACTGGAAAACAAAAAGACGATCAGCGTCGTTGTAACACAAGGCGGACACACAGCCGCTACATGTTTCGCATTCACGCCTTCGCACGCACCTTCCGATCTCGGGACAGCGCTGCTTCCAACCCTGCTCCCAGCCGCGTTTCCCCACCAGTCATACCGACAAACGCCAGAGCCCGGACCAAGGCGGCCCGTCCGGCTGCCCAGCAGTCCAGCCACGGCGGAGCTGACCACGGCCCGAGCCCCGTCCCGCACCCCAAGGGCCGCCTCTCCCGTCAGTCCCCCCGCACGGAGCTTGGTAGGCAGAGAAATCTGTGAACGTGCCCCCAATACCGACCCAAGACGCCAAAAGCTCTGGCTCTGGGGCTGAGGCGGTGGACAGAGTTCATTTCCAGGAGGAGTGAGACGGGCCGAGCAGGCGCCCGGCCAGGTGCCCCACCGGCACCGGATGGAGGATCACAGTGGGGCGTGCAGCCGGCTCACGGAGGCCGCTCCCTCGGCCGGATAACGGCACCGAACCGGCCCTGCGGTGCCAGGCGCTGCGCCACACACTTGACGCGCATTATCTCACTTAATCCAAACGGAGTTGTCCCCATTCTCCTGCTGGAAGAAACCAAAGCCCACAGGTTCACTTGCCCAAGGGGTCGAAACCGCCGCTCAGCTCAGAAGGCCGAGCTCTTAAGCCACACGCAAGGCCCTGACCAGAGACCGCGAGCCAAGTTTTATATTTAAGTCCCAACGTGCTTGCGAAAAATGAAATTAAAAAATCGGAACAAGGACAGTAGTCTCATTCGTCATATGACCTGACTGTCAAGGAGACAGGGCTCAGAGCAGCCAGACGACGAGGGGACAGACCATCTGGACCGGGCAGCACTCCGAGGCCAACCGCCTCCCCCTGGATGGCGGAGGGGAGCCGGGGCCAAGGGGTCAGGGTGCCCTTCGGAGGGATGTTTGCCGGCCTCCCCACCCCCTCGGCTCAACAAAGCCCGCCTCGGGCTCAACAAAAGGGAAAGAGGAGTGCTCAAAGCAGCCTTCCTCCTGCCAAAGCCTGACTCATCGGCCGTGCTCCAGCTTGGCTCTCCGAGCAAAAGGCCGGCTCTGCTCGTGGAGCCAACCAGAGCCGGGGCTGGCCCGGAGGAGAGGGAAGCAGGGCAGGAGGCCAAAGGCAGGGACGCCCCAGACGCTCGGGCCGGCGAGCCAGGGCTCTGGCTCCTCATAAAGGGCCCTTGTGCGTTAGGCCCGGGCCGCCAGGCCCTGTAGGCCTGGGGTCCGGGGGGCTGTGGGGCCGCTGGAGCACTGACTCGGCACCCATGCTCCACACGAACTCTGACCTTGTCCCACGAGAGACCAGACAGCTCTGAGGAGACGGACCACCGCCTCCAAAAGCCTCTCTCCTTCCATAATCGCTGGAAAAGTCTCTGCTGACAACATTTGCAGGATTTCACAAGGCCCCACCTCCACCACCAAAAGCCCAACACAACACAGCGTGGCAGAAATGCCAAAGGTAATTCCCCGGAGGAACGGACGCCCCACAGCGCGAGAGCCGAGCTGGGGGAGACCCGGATGCAATTCCTTGGCTGCAGCAGGCACGTCGGCACGCACCGCATCTGGCAGCAACCGGGCCGGGCTCCGGCACAGGGAGCCCACCAAGGGTTTCTTCCCTCGGCCGTGCCAGCCGTCTGAGTCAATGCTTCGCCTGGAAAAGCTCCCCGAACTCCCTCACCCTGGCCACAGCGCAGTTCTGTCCGCCGGGATGGAGTTCTGACACCCGTGTGTGAACTTGATTTTCGACTCTGCATGGCCCTATGATCTAAAGCTGGCTCGGGGCGCCTGGGTGGCTCAGTCGGTTAAGCATTCGACTTCGACTCAGGTCGTGATCTCATGGTTCATGGGTTTGAGCCCCGTGCTGGGCCCTGTGCTGACAGCTCGGAGCCTGGAGCCTGTTTCCGGTTCTGTGTCTCCTTCTGTCTCTGCCCCTCCCCTACTCGTGCTCTGTCTCACTCTCTCTCTCTCAAAAAAAAAAAAAAAAAAAAAAAAGGTTAAAATAAATAAATAAATAAATAAATAAAGCTAACTCAAAACAAACAGGAAGTATTCCGAAGTCTGAAATACCTAGAGAGAGCCATGTGAAGATTTACATTTTCCAGATAACATCATAAAGAATATTCTAGAAATAGGCAACTACTGGTGTCTTATTTACTGTTGGATTGTGCCACAGTACTTACAATTCTGGAACCCTCACTGACTGCTCTTAAATTTAACTTAAAAAAAAAATCACGTTAGTAAACCTTGAGAGAGAGGGGAAGAGAGGGGGAGAGAGAGAGAGAGAGAGAGGAGAGGGAGCTCTACCTTAAAAAAAAAGATGACCTTGTAAAACACACCAGGCTGAGCGAAATGATCTTTCTTTTGTTTCTGGTTTGTCACTAAGGGAGATAAATCAAAACAAAAAGAGCCTGTCAAAATGATCTGTAAAAGTAACATTCAGGTCAAGGCAAAAGATGAAAGTTTGTGTAATTACTTTTGTGAAACTGATCTGCTAAGCAATACAGAGATCAGACCTCAGTCGGTAGCTAAAGGTTCTGATCGATTCCCTTTTTTTTTCCTCTGCGGTGGAATATGGGCTGTGAACTAGCCGTGCCTTCAAGAACCAGGGCGAGAACTGGGACCTCACCAGCCAAGTGCCACCTACCAGAGTGTTCGCTTCACGGAACGCCCACGGATGCGCATAAACCCCAATTCAGGCTACTTTGGGGGGACCTCCTTAGAACAACAACGGGGGTTTGCTCAGGAACAGGGCCAGGGGAAACGTAAGCCACCCACAGCCTGAGCGCCTCCTGGACAAAGGGGACATTTGAAAGGTGTCAATAAAGGGCTTCTCCAAGCAACATGTTTTCCACCTCAAACGGAGAATTTTGCTTGACAGTTCCAAAAACATGTTTTTAAACCCAGTAAATAAAAGAGGGAATTGTAGGGATATTTCACCAAATCTTGCTTCACACATATTTTATCACATTCTGCACTGGAACTAGTACACGAAGTTCCTTTTAGGAACATTCACTGAGAAGACAAAATATAGATTTATTAAAGAAAAAAAGATGTATTAAAAAAAAAAAAAGGATCCCCTGCTCCAAACCAGAAAGCTGTTCCTGGTGATCAGCCTGAGTGGAGGCTGAGGTGAGCATTAGCGGCCGGCAGGGGTGGGGGGCGGGGAGGCCTTAGGGGGAAACTTGTCTGTCTGGTTCCCTGCTGCTGATCCCGAGTTCCACTGGGTTTCCTTGGAAAGGCTAACTCACACCTTGCTTTCACTCAAAGGATCATCAAATTCACCCTCTTCAAGAGATCCTGAATTCTTACCTTCGGTCAGATAAGAAGGGGGAAAAAAATTAAATACTGCTTATTGTAAAAAATCACATCCAGGGGCGCCTGGGTGGCTCAGTCTGTTGAGCTTTCGACTTCGGCTCAGGTCACGATCTCACGGTTGGTGAGTTGGAGCCCGGAGCCTGCTTCCGATTCTGTGTCTCCCTCTCTCTCTGCCCCTCCCCTCCCCACACTCCGCCTCTCTCAAAAATAAATAAACATTAAAAAAAATGAAAAAAAAAATCACATCCAAAGAGCAAACTTCAGTTCTCTTGTAGGCACCTTTCACACCGGTTTTCTTTTAAAACGCTGCAAAACAACGTCCACAGCAGCACCACGCTTAACAGCCCAACGGGCGAAGATTGCCCAAATGCTCATCACATGATGGGTGAGGAGACAAGACGTGGTTCGTCCACAGAACACTAGGCAGTGATGAAAGTGAAGACGGTGCTGGCCCAGACTGCAGTGCGAGTGAACCTCAGACGCTTCCTGTGGAATGAAAGAAGCCAGACACCAAGGCCACGTACTGCATGATTCCATTTCTAGGAAATAACCGGAAAACCTACAGAAGCAGGAGGAGGAAGAGGGGCTGCCTGGGGCCGAGGACTGGGGTTAGGCACGCACGGGCACGAGGGGCCTTACTGGGACGACGGGAGGGCCCTAAAACTGGTTCGTGGTGGCCACTGCGCAGCTTGGCGAATTCACTACAAGTCACTGAAAAGTACCGCTTAGAAAAAGCTGCCCCAAGAGAAAAAAAGTTTCCATAAAACCAAGTTATTTACTCAAGAATGCTCCTGGTGTTGCTCACACTGAGAATTAATCATCTCCATTTAATAACTCGTAAGCAGTTCAGGTCTATTTCAGGAGCTGTTTCAGACGCTCACAATTTTCACGGCGGGTAAAGCTCCAATTATAGCTGGTTATGGGGCTGTTTTCATCTTTATTAAACCACCATCATTTAACAAAACAGCAGCAGGAAGTTCAACAGACCCCGGGTACCAATTAAAAGGATGCCAAGTTAATAACCCTACAGGCTTCTGCAAGTTCCCCTCACAGGGCCACGCCCGGCCCTCATCTGAGCCGGGCACACAGGGACAGCAGGTGGCAGGAGCTTGGGGACAGTGCGGGCTCCCTGTGCTGATAGAGAGTTCTGGCCTCTTGGAAGCCCCTAGAAAAGCAAGGCAGAAGCCACTTTTTTGGTTCGGTGTAGCTTCTCATCTGGGGGTTCATTTGCAAAGTGCATCGTCTCCAACAGCACCCACCTCACTGAGGAGCGCTGGGGCGGCGGGGGGGGGGCCAACCACACGCCATCCTCCTGCAGGACGGGCGTGGACACGCACTGCCAGGCGAGCTGTGTGGTTTGCACGTCCTTCTCATTTATTTACCACCAAAATCCTTTCTCATGTGAGGCTAAAAGTCTATCCTCTTTTCGGTATTAGGGGGGAAAAAGCCCTCTTTACAGCATGTCCTTATGAAAGAAGGAGACAGATCATTAGCTTTATAATTCACTAAAAATGTTGCAGCACCTGCTGGAGCTGTATCAGGACGCGTGTGTCTTACAACGTTGAGGGAGAGAGATGGAAAGGATTAAAAAAAAGAAAAAAGCATTCAGAAAACAAATGTATGACAAAGAGTGAGAAAGAAGGCAGGGCAGGGAGGGGGAGAGGTGAAGGGAGGGACCTGTTCGGCAAAGGAGCCCTGGTCAGGCCGACTGCAGTTCTCGCAACGCCTCCCGAGACTTCTACAAGTTTGAAATGATCTGAAAACAGGAGTTTAAAAAGCTCACAATGGGAGACGCTTCGCACTTGTGAAGAAGACGGCACAGATGCTACCCGAGGACGGTGGGTGACACTACTTGAAAAAGCCGGCCCAGCAGACGCCTACTCGGAGCGTGTCGAGAAATTCCTTCACAGATACGAAGGGGGGACGGTGCCCCCTCTGCAGAAGGGCTGCCTCAGGGACTCCCCATAGAACACATCGCGTCTGCTTACGCATACTCAACGGTCCTACAAAGATGCCCTGGGAGGAGTCCAGGGCTCTGTGCCTTTTCTAGAAGTCTCCGGAGGCTGCTGCGCCAGGATCTCCTCCGGTTTACTATTCACGGAGATGTGCGTCTTCTGTTCCTGGGGATCAGCTGACCAGCTTTCGGTCGAGATTCTGTGTGAAGCGTATCTGTTCAATTATTTGAAACCTCCGAACCAAGGTGGAGCTCAGCTTGTCCTCAGAATCCAGGCTTCTCTAGGTCTCGTCTGGGTAGCAAGGGTTACTTTGTTTCTAAGATATAAATTAATTATTTCCTCTACCACAGCTTAAGGATCCACAATCATACTTTCACTTGACTTAATGCTACAGTGTTTCCTCTCAAATATTTGGCTAAAATCTTAACTTAAAAACATTCATAAGACTTCAATTGTAATATTCTTAGCAGAGGGAAAGAAACCAAAACCATTTCTAACCCGGAGCGAAGCAGCTAGTTTAATCAAGGCCACCGTCCTCCTCCGAGCTGGGGCTGCACCACAACAGGTTTGCATTTCCAGGCTTCTCTGCAAGCGGAGGGGAGCTGAATACTGGCACCCCACCCCCCCAGCAGTTTTCGCCCCAGCTGGGTGCTACGCAGCGTCTGGAGGGCCTCCGGTCCCCCCAGCGTGTGCCAGGGGATCCTGAAGGGAATGCAGAGATTAATTTCAGCTGGACTTGCTCTTCTCAATCCTCTTAGCGCAAGAAGGCCTTGGAGACTTAAGGAAGCATTCGTTATTTAAAATGCTTCTGTTGGGGTGCCTGGGTGGCTCAGTCGGTTGAGCATCCAGCTTTGGCTCAGGTCGTGATCTCGCGGTTCGTGGGTTCGAGCCCCGCGTCAGGCTCTGTGCTGACAGCTCAGAGCCTGAAGCCTCCTTCAGATTCTGTGCCGCCTCCCTCTCTCTCTGCCCCTCCCCTGCTCATGCTCTGTCTCTATCTCTCAAGAATAAATCAACTTAAAAAAAAAAATGCCTCTGCTGAGGCTGGGTGCACAAAGTGTTGAGGTGGGCCTGCTGCATCTGTATACAAAATAACCATCTGTATCCCGAGGAAAATGAGGAGCCTTCCTGAAGGGAAAGGGCGCACAACCCCCGGGACCCCAACTAACTTTCCCCCAGATTTTCACCCTTGACGTTTATAATCACTTTTGTTGAAGGTAAGGGGAGAGTCACAATTTGGTCAACAAGAGGAGGTTCTGTCGAATGAACGGGCAGGGGGTAGCGGGGACCCTCTAAATCTGAGAACTCACTTGTGAATGTTGGGACCCAAAGATTCAATTAAAGGTGTGGAAAATGAGCGACAACCAGCAGGCAGGTCCGTATCCTGTGTGTCTCCCCCGCAAAGTACTGTTCGCTCTGACTACCACACGCACCTACTTTTTTTTTTTTTATAATTGTGAAAAATTTACCATCGTAAAGATTTTTAAGGGTACAGTTCAGCAGGGTTAAGTGTAGTCACATAGTCATGAAACGATCTCCAGAATTTTTTCATCTTGAAAATGTGGAAGTTGAACTATTAAACAGTCGCTGCCCGGCCCCCCAGGGAGCACGATCCCACTTTCTGGCCTGATGAAGCCACCCGAGACACCGCACGTAAGTGTAATTATACCACAGTGGTCTCTGTGCCCGGCTTACCTGACCTACGTAATGTCCTCAGGGTTCATCCGTGCTGTAGCGTGGGGACGGCGATTCCTTCCTTTCGAAGGTGAGTCCTACTCCGCTGTGTGCAGACAGCACGTTTATTCATCCATCCGTCTGTGGGCACTGGGCAGTCTCCACCTCTTGGCTACTGGGGACGACGCAGCCGTGAACACGGGTGTGCGAGCACCTGTCTGTGCCCCAGCGCTCAGCTCTCTTCTACTTAAGTGGAAATCGCTGGATCCCGTGCTAGTTGTTTTACGTTTTCTGACGCGCCTCTGTTTCAGTAGCAGCTGCGCTGTTTCACAACCTCCAACAGGGCACCAGGTCTCCATTTCTTCACGTCCTCACCCACACGTGTTGTCGGCTGGCTTTGTGACAGCGGCCATCCTGCGAGGTGCGAGGGGGTATCTCAACGTGGTTCCAATTTCTAGGTCTGTGAGCATTACCGATGCTGAGCACCTCTTCCTACAGTGTTGACCGCTTTCGTGTATCATCTTGGGAGCCAGATTTATTTGGATCCTTTGTCCTTTGTTCAACAGGGTGATTTTCTTGTTGCTGAGTTGTAGGAGTGTTCAAAAACCACATTCGGGATATAACTCCTCATCGGATATAGGACTTGCAAACATTTTCTCCCATTCCACAGGCTGCCTTTTCATTCTGTTGGCCGTGGGTCCTCTGATGACAAGGATGTAGTTCTCTTCCTGTATGCTTTCAGGGTCCTAGTCACAAAATCATCGCCAAGTCCGGGGTCATGAAGCTTTTCCCCCGGCTTTCTTCTAAGGGTTGTACAGTCCTGAGTCTTAGGGTTAGGGTAGGTCTGTAGCCCATGTGGAGCTAAGTTTCGTATGTGGTGTAAGGGCCTGCATTAAAAA